TGGAGTCACACGTGACACTTCTTCACGGCTGACGGAGTGAATGTCTAAGTAGCCCTGGAACTTATGTTGAAGTCCTCGCCTGCATGGTGATGTTAGGAGGGGCTTTGGAAGATGAGGTCATGGGGTTGCAGCCCTCAGGATCAGTATAGTGAGTGCCCTTCGTGAACTGGACTCCAGATAACGTCTTTCCTTCTTTCCCCTAAGCAATGATAGCTAGAGACCAGAAGACCCTCACCAGAACCTGTGACAGGGAAGCCCTGGTCACGGACTTCAGGCCTCCATTTGAAATTACACCCATTTACTTACACAGTTTCGTTTGTATGTGGGTGGGTGCATGCCAATGACACATGTGTGCAGGACAGACGACAAACTTTCGGGAGCTGGTCCTCTCACCATGTAGGACCCTGAGATGGAACTCAGTTTTCAGGTTTGGTGGTAAATGCCTTTACCTGGCAAACCATACCACAAGCCCAGATTTCTGCTTATAGGCCCACTCATTTTATGGTGCTTTATCACAAAGGCTGAGTAGACCAGAATACAGATTGTTGTAGCAAAACAAATGTCCCCAGTTCCTTGTAGGCCTCATCAGTTCAGAGAAGACTTCTCTAAGGTGCACACTTGGTAAGGACTCGGCATCAAACACCCTTCTATTTTTTTTTTAATTGTGTTTTATGTATGCGTATGTTTCTGTGGTCGTCAACCATTTCCTGTGAAGAGACTAAAGTGAACTGTGACTGCAGGTTACCTAGCTCGGAAAGCAGGTTTCATACTGAGCATTTCCTGGCTGTCCACTCTGTGGCAGGCACTGAGCCAAACTCCTCCACTCCTTCTCTCTCCTTCAGGCAGTACTGAGAACAGGCTCGACTCAATGTTTTGATGTTAGGAGGGTGTGAAAGCGCTTCACACTCTGCAGAAACTGTACTGTGAGTTTTGAATTTGGATCTGTTCCCTGGCCAGTGACATGCAATTTGATATGGAATGGTGGGATCCAGGCAGCCACCCCAACACAAGGTAAACAACACACTCCAAAGTCATCAATGTTGCTAGGCCAGGCTGAATTAAATTATTTATTTTCAAATTATGACAGGCTATCAGGTTGCAACTTCATGGTGAAGCCCAAGAACACTTGTCTCCTTTCTTTTCTTTTTTTGGTTTGGTTTTTCAATAAAGGATTTCTCTGTGTAGTCCTGGCCGTCCTGGAACTTGCTCTGTAGACAAGGCTGACCTTGAACTCAGGAGATCCACCTGCCTCTGCCTCCTGAGTGCTGGCTGGACCAAAGGTGAGTCATCTTTGGTTCCAGGAGAGAAAGGGAGGTCTGCTAAGGTGTCAAGGTTCGCACTGAGTGTTGGTTCCTTCTTGAGTTCCCCGGGATGTGGAGGTGGGTGCCACTGAGTTTCTTTGTTGAGATTTCCTGAGCTGTCCATGACCAGGAAAACCTCCACCAAATGACATTAAGTGTTTTAGTTGGCAATAGATGTCTCGTGTCTTGGCTGGTCATCATAATTGTGGAACCTTTGAGGATATGGAGGAGGGGGCTCGTCCCCAGGGATGTGTCTCAGTAGGGTTAGTACACTGTATTTGCCCTCATCTCCCACCAGGATTCTGCTGAGCAGGTTCAGGGAATCCAGGGACTGAGGGGTCCATGGTACCAAGGGTACCTGTGTGTAGTACGAATTCTAATTGATCATAATAATAAAATTCTGGAGTCAGATATTGGGGTGAAAGCTGAAAGATCAGAGAAGCAGAGCAGTCGGCCACTAGAGTTCTTATCTCTATGAAATCCTCAGACCGAAAGGGCTAGCTCCTGTCTCTGCCCACCTTATATTCCTCTCTTTGCCCAACCTAACACTTCCTGTTTCCTCCATTCCCGTGCTGGGATTAAAGGATCAGAGGTGTGTGCCACAGCAGCCTGGCCTCTAATGTTAACTAGTAGATAGCTTTGCACTCTGATTGTTAGGCAAGGCTTGTTAGAGCCAAACAAGACATCTCCACACCTGTGCTCCACTGAAAAGACTCGTCCTGTGTCTGCAGAATGAGACAGAGAGGGCTCTCACATTCTGACAATGCTTTGTTAGGGCATACTAGCAACATGTGAGTACAAGGGTCACCTGCCCGAAATGGGGTCAGAGACTTCTAAATTGTGGTTAACAACCGTGTCACTGGTAACTGCTGTTCCTACTGCAATTTAGGTCCTATTTTTTGGGAGGAGGGAGGTATTGAGACAGGGTATCTCTGTAGAGCCCTGGCTGTTCTAGAACTTGTTCTGTAGACCAGGTTGGCCTCAAACTCAAGAGATTTGCTGGGATTAAAGGCGTGCAAAACCAGTTTTTTGTTTGTTTGTTTGTTTGGAGACAGTCTATGTCACTCAGGCTGGCCTCAGTCATGAGATTCTCTTGCCTTCAGCCTCCTGATTGCTGAGATTACAGGCCCACACCAGCATGCCTAGCTTCTTTCCTTATTATGCACACAAGCAGTTAAGTCTGCCATATGACTTAACTTCATATAGTTTACCATGTAAGCCACAGTTCTCCAGACCTTGTATTCTGTTCTTTACAAAGGGGTCACAGGGATTTTAGAACTGTAATGGCCGTTTTCCTCCTAAGTCCACCACTATTGGCTAGTGAATCTTCCTCAATATTCTCTCTAGTTGTGCAATTCAGGCCTCAGAACCACTGATCTAGAAGATTTGGAGGTGGGTTTCAGAACAAGGGGCAGTTGGCTGGGCTGAAAACCAGGTAAAGTGGAGTGTGTGATTAGAATATGTGAAGGCTTGATGCAGTTATATATTATTTATGATTTATTAGAGCTTGACTGAGGGTTCAGAAAAGCAAAGATAGCCACAAGCCTTAGAAACCAGGTAGACACCTTTAATCCTAGGACGCAGAATTATGAGGTAGACAGATCTCTGTGAATTCAAGACCACCCAGATCTATACAAGAGTGAATCAGCCTAAGAGAGAATTATAGCTCACACCTTTAATCCCAGCATTAGGGAAGTGTACAAGACAGAACTAAGTTTTCAGAGAGACATTCCTTCTCCAGCCACACTGCTTTGCTTCCCTGATCTTTAGCCTGAACCCCAGTATCTGTCTCTGTGTCATTTATTATGTGACAGCCTGATATAAGCATTAAGAAAAAAACAAAACAAAAAAGCAAACCAGCCAGGCAGTGGTGATGCACACCTTTAATTCCAGCACTCGGGAGGCAGAGTTAGAGGCCAGCCTGGTCTACAGAGTGAGTTTCAGGACTGGCTCCATAGCTACTGAGAAACTAAAACAAAGCAAAACAAGCTCCCGCCCTCCCCCAAGCAACCAAGCAACCAACCTCAAAAAAGTTGGAGCTGGAGAGATGGCTCAGTGGTTTCCTAACTGAAACTGCTCTTCTAGGGGACCCGAATTCACTTCTCATCCCTCACAACCATCTGTTAGCTCCAGTTCCAGAGGCTCTGGCACCATCATTTGGTTTCTATGGGAACAGACTGCACATAAGTGGTACACATACATACATACATACATACATACATACATACATACATACCAGCAAAATTCCCACATACAAAATAAATTTTGCTGGGCGTTGGTGGTGCAGGCCTTTAATTCCAGCACTCAGGAGGCAGAGGCAATCAGATCTCTGAGTTCTGGCCAGCCTGGTCTACAGAGCGAGTTCCAGGACAGCCTCTAAAACAATATAGAGATACCCTGCCTCGGAAAAACCCAATAAATAAATAAATAAATAAAAAATAAAAATTTTAATTATATAAATCTCCATCCAAATCGGGATCCTGCACACTCAGAGTTGTGCCAGAACGTAAGTCATGTGTCGTCAAGGAGGCCAATCTGCAGAGAGCAGGATGCAGCCGAGTATCTACAGAAGCAGGAAACAGCAAAGACCATGTGGACCCAGAGGGTGGCCAGTCTTTCCCACCCTTTTTTAAGTGAGACAGGGTCTCACTATGTGGCTCTGGCTGTCATGTAACTCACAAAGATCCACATTACTCCGCTTACTGGGTGCTGGGATTAAATCATGCCCACCACACTTCTGTGATGAATACTTTTGATGGAACTTTACTTTTCCTCTCTTCTCCCACCCTTCAAAATACAAGCAAAACCTGAAAGATACTTGAGCAGGATGGGACCAAGAAACTACTGTGTCAGAGACAAACATTTAGAGGCACACATGAAGTGGTGCAGAAGCAGGTGGACTTACAGGAGGGGACATGTGACACAAAGCCACGTGGGAGCAAACTCACGCCCAGCTCCTGCCTTCTCATCTCAGCGGGATGCAGACATGTAGAGCAGGGTCTCTGCCATGGGCAGTGTGGTTGAGAGCATATAGCGAAGCCGTCTCTAGACCAGGTTTGAACGTCATAAAACTAGGACATTAGAACCTAACTTCATTAACCTCCCTGTGGAGGTCTGAATAAGAACGGCCCCTACAGGCTCATTTTTGCTTGTTTTTCAAGACAGGCTTTCTCTGTGTAGCTTTGGAACCTGCCCTGGAACTAGCTCTTGTAGACCAGGCTGGTCTCGAACTCAGAAATCCACCTGCCTCTGCTTCCCAAGTGGTAGGACTAAAGGTGTTTGCGTCACTACTGCCTGGTTTCAGGCTCACGTACTTGAATGCTTGCGTGGTCACCAGGGAGTGGACTATGAAAAGGATTAGGAGAAATGGCCTTGTTGGAGGAAGTGTTTCAGTCAAGGTGGGCCCAGGCTAGCCCAGCTCTCTCTCCCACGTGGCAGAGATCAGGGTGCAGTGCTCAGCCTGAGTGCTGCCAGGCTTCCACCATGACAATCAACTAACCCTCTCAAACGGTCACAAGCCCCTAAGGGCTTTGTTTGTAAGGGCTGCCCACAGCACAAAGGAAACCTTTTGTCAGCTTCCCCCATAGCAAAAGGAAACCTTTTGTCAGCTTCCACCCAGCCACTTCCTTCAAACTAGAGCCTCTCCATCTTCTGTGTCTCGCAACGGTGACACGGTAAACATTCAGTATAGATGGGTGTTGGCTTGGAGCTTGTTAGAAATAAAGCAGCGGATTAGGACCAAAGGTGGCAGGTCCCCTGGTGATGGACTGTGGCAGATGGGAAACAGAGACTTGTAGATGTGACTGATAGTGAAAGTTTTATAGAGGGGAAGGTAAGAAAATAAGAGACACAGAGACAGGACAGAAAGGCGTGAGGGGGAAGGGGGGACAATGACAACGACGGACAGGAAAGGTCCTGTCTGCCCTCCAGAGGAACAGTGGGAAAGAGAACAGAAGCGGGTGGATCTTTTCTTTTAAGGAGTTACGGTACACATACACCTGCCATGCCCAGGTGGGTGAGAGGTGGGGCCTGGCTTGCCTGGAGTGTCCTGGTTTCTTTTCTGGTGTATATCATACTGTGGGCAGGGAATGTAGACCTGCGGTAAAATGCACACTTAGGATGTATGAAGCCCTAGGTTCAACTCAAACACTCCCGCCTGTAGTCTGTCGCCACGTACAGGAGCTTGAGGCAGGAGTTTGACATGAGTCTGGACGTTTAGGGCTACCTGGGCAGTACAACAAGAACGTGTCTCAATGAGTGAACAAAGCTATCGTGGTTTTCTTTGCAGTCCCTGCCCTGGCATACATCTGCAACACAAGCATGTGCAACTTGAACTCACACGTGGGAGTGTTTCACTTCAACTCATTAAGCTTGCAAGCCAAGGCTCGCTCGGCTTTCCGACGGATCTGCGTGGGTGGCTAACAGAGTGTGATCTCAGAGCTGGCTGTTTGACGCTGTTAAGGTTCCACCTGCCAACGCTGTCTGAGAGTACTGAAGCTTTCCCTTTGAGCAGGATAGAAAGCCCGGTGAGTAATGCCTCCCCCGTCCCTCCACAGCTACACTGGATCTGGAAAGACCTCTTGTAGCCACTCTGAGACCTTCCTAGGTTCCAAAGGCCAGAAACTGGAGTGGGGATGCTGTGGGATGGCAATTGTCAAAGCTTTTGAGTTCAAGCCTTAGCCTGTTAGCTTCATGACCAAGACACTGCTGCCCATGCAGGTCACACCCCAACTTCCTTTCTAACAGGATCTCATTATGCAGCCTTAGCTAGTATGAAACTTGCTATGTAGACCAGGCCTACCTCTAAATCAGAGATCCGCCTGCTTCTGCATCCTGAATGCTGCAAACGACGATTGTGTGTTGCCATGTCTGTTAAGACACTGTTTTACTGTCTAATGCTTAGAAACAGCCCCTTTCCCTCATCCCCACCCCCCAGTGTCTCAGCATCCCCCCCCCTTGTCTCGGTGACTCTCTAACTCTACTCCAGTGCTTGTGAGTGTTCTTCAGTGGCTTCCTGTTTGTTTGCACGGGATTACTTCCTCCCCCCCCCCCGTGTCTCAGTCACTCTCTAACTCTACTCTAGTGTTTGTTTTCCTCTCTTACTTCAGTGGCTTCCTGTTTGCACGGAAACGAATCAAACACCCAGCAAATCAAGGCAGAGCTGGATTTCTCCTGTCAATGACCAATGCATCACATAAATGCTTCACTCCAGCGCTGGTCTTTTGTGGCTGTTCTTCAAACGGACTTGATGCTATGCCCTTTGGAAAGGGTGGAATTCATCAATACTAACTCTAGGAAATATACCAAGACAACGGCAAACCAGTTCAGAGCGGCAACACTGTCTTACGTGGAGCTCAGGACATGTGTGTGAAACTTACTAAATGTCCAGTGAACCATGAGTATCCCAGGTGTATGTATACCGTAACTCTTTAAAAGATTCACCTACTTCTGTTCTTTCCCACTGTTCTTCTGGAGGGCAGACAGGACCTTTTCTGTCCGTCCATCACCCCGACTACTCTATCTCTGTGTCTCTTATTTTCTTACCTTCCCCTCAATAAACACTCAGTACTATAGAAGATGTTCTCGCTCGATGGCAGGATGAGGTATCTTCTAACTGTAAAGCCCAGGTGGGGAGAAATGGAACCCCAAGCATTTCTTGGAACAGCCTTACGCTAATCGACTTTGTCAGCAGCACACTCTCCCTTTGAGCTTGGAGACTCATGCACATACACACAGGGAATATAGTTTCAATGTAAGGACTAGTGAGAGAAGCACCATTTGCCTTATGCTCCTGTCTCCCCCACAGGCAGTAGGGTAAGGTAGGTATGTTTACTCTGCAGTTTCTTGGGTTTACAAACATCTACGCTCACAATGAAAATAGTTTTATTTTTATTATTGTAACCAGCATCTTACAAAGCGTTTTAAAGTTTATCCTATTTACATTTACATTATGCAGAATTTCAATCACCCACAGTTAACATGCTAAAATTTCCTCTTTACTTTTTATGTGTATGAGTGTTTTGTCTTTTCCTTGCACATGCATGTGTACCACGTGTGGTCAGAAGGCACTACATCAGATCCTTTGGAATTGGGGTTATGGATAGTCATGAATCACTACAGGTGCTGGGAGCCAAACCTAGGCTCTTAACAATGTTCTGAAACAGGATCATTCCACTTAAGCACAGGAAATTCTGTCAGTTCACAACAACATACCACCTTCTTTTAAACTGCTGTAGACATTCCATTACATAGACTAGTGACTTAACCTTCCCTGTTAACGGGCATTTGTTTCACTCCATTTAATTTTGAAAAAAGTCAGTTTGACCAGAGCCTTGTGGTATAGGCCTACAATCCTGGCTGCTCAGGAGGCTGAAGTAAGAGGCTCTAAAGCTCAAGACCTGTCGGGATACTGGGGGCTCTGTAGTATGACCAGTGTGTACAGGCCCGAGGCTAACTCCCCAGTGTCTCTTTCTCTCCACACAAATTAAACCAAGTAGGCTGAAAACATGTTCCTCTCTCCCTTTAAAACTATCTATTGGCAGGGTCTTGCTATGTGGCCTGGGCTGGAAATTCAGTCCTCTGCTGGGATTACAGGCATATGCTACCACACCAGACAAGACTTATCTGTAGTAAGGCACTTTTAGACACACAGATGAAATTTCATATGTATCATATAATCACAATCAGCAATTTCACTGCCCAAAGCAACTCCCAAGTATACCCCATACAAACACTGGCCTACTCCCCAGCCTGTTATAGATGCTACCCGGAAGCACACAGTAGGTAGCCACATCAAATGTACCAGACCTCTATCCAACTGTATGTATCAGGAGTCCTTTATCGTCACTATGGGAAGAAGTCCACTGCATGATGGGAAGCTCCACTGCAGGACTATACCGCAGTTTGATCTACTGTCTGGGGCACATCTGAGTGGTTTCCAGGTCTTGGTGATTCAAACTAAAGCTACAGTGCATCCTCATCTCCTAGTGGCAGGACTGTGGGGTTGCATGTTTAACTCTGTAAGAAGTTGCGTCATTCTGCAGGTCCATGGACAGTGTCTGTGAGTTCTGGCAGCTCTCCTCGTTCATTATTCCTGATACTGCTGGGTTTCTACAGTGGCTTTACCTACCCAACAGGCATGCAGCGTGCTTTTGTGGTCTTAATTTTGTTTCTTTAGTTACCACTGGTTGTTGGGCATGTTTTCATGTGCTATACGGATCCAACCTTTCAAGAAATGTGTTTACATTTACTGTCCAGTTTAAATTACATAGTCTGTTTTGTTACTGGTTCTCAGAGATCCTTTTGTAGTTTTGATTCCAATTTGTTTTTTGTATGAATACATTGGTAAAACTTGTTAACTGTAAGAGTCTCCGTTTAGCATCAGGGTGGAAAGAGCAGTATGTACTTTTGGAGTTCCTGACACTGTGCTCTCTCTTTGGATACATCCAACAGCTGCCTTTGAACACCCAGCAGTGAGTGTTGACTAATGAATGTCACAGCGGTGTCCTGGGGATGGCATCACTGGTGGGCTACAAGGATGTCAAGGTAGACAGCAGCCTGTCCTGAAGAACCTGTATGGTGACCTGCTGCTGTTCTGTCTTCCGTGTCCTCTTGGAACCCACCTTTCCTCTTTCCATCCAGTTGACAAAGGCTCCTTAGGAGTGTACCTGGCAGGACCGGAAGGAAGGGCTCTGCTCACCCGGCTCCCGTGGCTACTGGATCCCGACTGTGTTACTTCCTCACGGCTGTGCCGTCTCTGGCTGCTCCAGACTATTCACGGGAAGTCAAGCCAGGCCTCCGAGTAGCCATCTCACTGACTGGATAAAAGGTAAAGCAGCTAACAGGCTGTCTGATACAGAATGACTGAGATGGTTAGACTTAAGAGACCCGTCCAGTACAATTCCCAACTCGGTGTTCCAGTAATGAGATTGTGGTATTACCGACACCCACAAAGGCAAACTGAGCAGAGGAGGCACCCTTGTGTTTCAGGGAAGTAGCAAAGAGCAAAAACGACAAGTTCTGTGGGAAGGTACATACTGTACAATTTACCCAGCACACTAAGTTCTGCAGCGACCGCGCTGCCACCATGGGCTTCTGGACACTTGGCTTTTGCTATCCAGAGGTGGTGGGGGTGGAAGCTGCAATGACTGTGATCAATGAATACATGTAGGAAATTGGTAAAGGACAATAAAAGATTAAAGAAGCAGAGACAAAGGGCAGGGCACATTTGGCTCCCGCATCAGAATGAGGCGGTAAGACAGTCGAGGGTGGGCAGACACCAAGCCTACCTTCCTTAGCAGATTTGCTTTACACTGGGAGGACCAAGACAATACTTCTGAGGTTGTAGCACTCAACCTCAGCATTCTGGTGCTATACCACTAAAGCAAACAATGTTGTAAGCTCCTTCTCTCTCTTCTGGTTTTTTGGTTTTTCAAGACAGGGCTTCTCTATGTAGTATCAGCTGTCCTGGGACTCCATCCACCTGCCTCTGCCTCCCAAGTGCTGGGATTAAAGGTGTGCACCACCACCTCTGACTAAGTTCTTTCTCTTAATGAGAAATTATTTCCTTGCTTTAATCATATAACACTTTTTTTTTTTAAATTTTATTTTCCAGTTTAAATTTAGATAAGAAACGAGGTTGCTTCACAAGTCAGTTCCAGGTCCCTCTCCCATTCCCTCCCTTCCTCCCGTGCCCTCCCCCCACCCCCCCACCCCCGTTATCCCCCTCATTTCCCCAGGGAGGGTGAGGCCCTCCATGGGGGTGTGCATAGTCTGTCGTTTCATATAGGGCAGGGCCTAGACCCTTCCCCAAGAGTTCAGGGTGAGAGTGCACCTCACATTGTTCTATGGGAGTCCAAAGTCCGTGTGTATACTTGGGATGGGTACTGATCTGCTGCCCAAGGCTCAATAGATTCCCTAGGCCTCTTCACTGACACCCAGATTCAGGATATAACACTTTCTTATATTTCCGGCATTTGTACGGCTTGCCTGCAGGCATCCAGAGGCTGAGGGTAAAATGCACACACGTTCAAAGCAACTTTTCCTGAAGAATCTTTTGCTTTGCAGGTGTGATTTTGGACTTTTAACAGCTTTTGACGTTTTGTCTAGAAGAAACTCATGGTGAGCATGGGCTGCTTCCATCCACGATCAAATAAAGATGATGAAAGAAGGGCATCTGATTCTCTAGGAAACAGTGCCAGCCTTTTCCACCACCCTCTGGCCCCGACTCAGTTGGCAATGGAATCTGAGAGTCAAGGGTCAGGCCTTGCCTGCAGAGTGGGAAGTTCCAGGAGTTTACATCTCATTATAGGAGATTTATCCTAAGACTGGAAAGGTATTTAATTTTCATTTATTATTAAGAGATTAAAAAGACATTTTTCATTTATGTGTCTGTGTGATATATGTGAGAATGTCTGGGGAGACCCGAAGAGGGCATAGATCCCTTGAAGCTGGAGTCGCAGGCAGCTGTGAGCCACTCTGAGTGCTGGGAACCAAACTCATGTTCTCTGCGGGGGCAGTGTGTGCCCATAACCCGTGCCCACCCTCCAGCCTGGATTTTCCTATTTTATTTTTATTTATTTATTTGGTTTTTTACGAGACAGGGTTTCTCTGTATTGTTTTGGAGGCCTCGAACTCAGAGATCTGCCTGCCTCTGCCTCCCGAGTGCTGGGATTAAAGGCGTGCGCCGCCGCCACCACCACCCAGCAGACTTTCCTATTTTAAAACTAAACAAAAAGAACATTAACATCTACAGTTCTGTTTCCTTTACCAACATCATAAGGGTAAATTAAGCCAGTGATAAAAGTTGCCATTTAGAGCCGGCGGTGGTAGTGGTGCACACCTTTAATCCCAGCACTTGGGAGGCAGAGGCTGGCGGACCTCTGTGAGTTTGAGACCAGCCTGCTCTACAAGAGCTAGTTCCAGGACAGCCTCCAAAGCCACAGAGAAACCCTGTCTCGAAAAACAAAAAACAAAGTTGCCATTTAGTACAAAGCAAACAGGTCCCTTTATTAATGTATGCTTGAAGGTGAACATTACCTCTGTGGAGACAAATTCCCTCTTCAGTTTCAGAAAAAGGAACTTGGACTGTGTTCCTTTCATAGTTTCTGTAGTTGATAATCCTCCCTCCCACTTTCTTCTTCCCTTTGGACCTTACCTTAGTTCCTCAGAGATTGACAATTTTCATTTAGGAAATATCCTACTGATACTTGAAAAGTTAACCCTTGAAAGCAAAAGCAGTTTCAATTCCCACACCCCCTCTATACCATGAGAACATTGTCTTTTGTGGGGAGGGTCTCGCTGTGTATTCCAGGCTGGCCTCAACCTCACATCTTCCTGCCTTGGCCTCCGAAGTGTTGGACACCTGAATGCTATGGTTTAACCCAAGTTTAAGTCTATAAATAACGTCATTCTTTTAAAAAACCACTTAGGAAACATGGAATCCCAGCTTTAACAGTTTACTGAGAGGAACGGCAGAACTGTAGTCTTTGTGCTGTCACAGCAGGTAGTCAGCCGGTGGGAGTGGCAGGCTCATGGCTGCCTTTAAGTGTCCCAGCACATGCTTCTCAGTCACTCTTCTCTTCAGTCTGGTAATGCCTGTACTCGGGCTTCAGCTCCCATGTATTCTTGTGAATCCCTTTTACATTCTGAATGCCGATTTCTTTCAAGATTTCTTTCAGGTATCCCTAAAAACCAAAAAAGTGCCACAGAGGAGGTTATCAAGGCAGAAAATAACACTTAAAATGATATAAACTAAATACCCACAAATAACAAAAACTATGTTTCTTAAACCCAAGTAGGGCTTTCTATGAAGAGGCACACCCCAGTAAACACACAACCATGTGCATCAAAGGCCTGAACGAATGATTTACACATTAAGTGATGGCTGCTCAATGGTCAATGAACTAATGAGGGCAATCTGCTCTTGACTTAGGGGCTTAATGGACTCAGTCCAGACTGCAACCAGCAGTTTCGGAGCACACATGTGTCGTTCACATACGGTAGGGATGGGAGGTAATAGTCAAGAAGGAAGCACTTGACGAGCATCTAGAATCCTACCTTTTTTTTTTTTTTTTTGGATTTTTAGAAAGTCTCTGAACTCAAAATTGAATCTGTGGTCTTTCTTATTTTTTTTTTTTAATTTAGGTTAGAAACAATCTTGCTTCACATGTCAATCCCAGCTCACTCTCCTTCCCCTCCTCCCCCATCCCACCTCGCCAGGTCCGCCAGGTCCCCCAGTTCCCCGCCCAATCTCCACTCCGATCCCCAGGGAGGGTGAGGCCCTCCCCCCAAGAGTCCTGGCTGAGAGAGCCTCCCATATTGTGGCATGGGCACTCAAAGTCTATTTGTACGCCAGGGATAAGTATTACCCATGGCCCTGTAAATTACCTAAGCTTCCTAACTGACACCCACATTCAGGGGCATCTGGGTCAGTCCCATGCTTTCCACACAGCCATCAATCTGGGGTCCAAGAGCTCCCCCTTGCTCAGGGCAACTGTTTCTATGGATTAAACCAGCCCAGTCTTAACTCCTTTGCCCATCAGTAGAATTCCCACTTCTAAGATGGGTTTTCTTCTTTTAAAGACAGGATTTCATCATGCAGTCTTGGCTGGTCTGGACCCCCTGAGCCAGACGGTCTCAACTCCCAGAGTTCTATGAGCCTCTGCTTCCCGAGAGCTGAGAGCCACACGCATTCCAACTAAGATGGCTCTTCAAATAGTTTCAGAACACCTCTTTCCCATAGAATAAGGAACCGTATTATCTTTGTGTTGCCCGAGCCTGCCAAAGCAGAGAGAGGACTAAGAACTAATAATGAGACGTGCTGAAACTATGAGGGCCCAGGCTTCTTGTGCTCAGCTCACACTATTTATGCCCCCAAGAAGCTGCTTACCAAATGACTACTGGAGCCATGGAAATTATGACTATGCTAAGTATACTACAAAACTCTGATTGTTTGCTAAAGCCCACTGAAGCACTCACTCTGAACAAATCAATACAAATTATAGTAGCTCCTAAGAAGAGAAAGAAGTTAATTATTCACAAGTGCCAATCAACCTAATCTGACTATATGCTTCAAAGAATCAGTCACAACATTAAGATGGCTTCCCTCATTGCAGGAGGAGAGGTAATTCATTGAGGAGAGGCACTAATGGCTGAGGAGCTCCTGCTTAGATGATATTTGCACTGTGTGCAATACTACCAAATCTCATTGTGTGTGGATCTTTACCAAGTCCCAGTGTGTGTGTGTGTGTCTCCAGCTAGCTTCAAACGCCCAGAAATCTACCTGATTCTGCTTTCAGAGTGCTGAGATTAAAGCTGTATGCCACCATGCCCCTCCCCTTACAAACAGACAGGTCTGACTTGACTGGCCTGCAAGACTCTATATGTGCTGGCCTTAAACTAGGAGAGATCTGCCTGTCTCAGCCTCTGTAGCGCCACCACGCCCAGACTTGTCCTTGTTTTTTGAGACAAGGTCTCATTAAGCTGTCCAGGCTGGTATCAGGGGCATGCTCCACCATGCTAGGCAAGAGGACGCCTGTCTTTGCCAAGTCCCTAACTGATTCGTCCAATTACTCTGAAATTCTACCAGATCTGCTTTAAGGCTGTTGCAGTTGACACTCCAGAATCAGTGTGTCCATGATAGTGTTTGTTTTCTGAACCAGTGCAGGACACTGCAGGTTACCAGAAAGTCACTGATTTGGAATAATGGAGCACAACCCATTCAGCCAGGGGTAGACTGCCATTTAGAAATTTAATAGTTGAAAACTAGGGCTCGTGTGAAGGTTCCCGGAAGGCTTAGGACCTGTCTCCTGGATAGCCTTTCTATCCCAGCAAACAGGCCCCAGCAGGTGGCAGCAGTGAACCAAGTGAGTCCTGGGTTCCCCAGGCGGCTTGCCTGCCTCCCACACCTTCTATAGTTGGCATTGCTAAAGGAATGCGTGTGAATGAGTAAGCAGAAAGGCTTGGGCACGCAGGTAATGTGCATGTCTGCCATCTGATATTTCACAGTACACTTGAAAAATGGGACACTGTTCATAAACTACTTTCTAATTAAACCGAATTCATACAGGGAAAATGATGGGTTAGGCACAAATGATCTCAGTTTAGACGCCAAGAATGACATCTTTGTAGAATTCCAAAGAATGGTTTGTTGTGAGGCTAAGACGCCGTTGCACAAACACTCACACAGCTGTGGGTGTGCCCCAGTGAATCCACACACAAACACTCACACAGCTGTGGGTGTGCCCCAGTGAATCCACACACACACACACTCACACAGCTGTGGGTGTGCCCCAGTGAATCCACACACACACACACTCACACAGCTGTGGGTGTGCCCCAGTGAATCCACACAAACACTCACACAGCTGTGGGTGTGCCCCAGTGAATCCACACAAACACTCACACAGCTGTGGGTGTGCCCCAGTGAATCCACACACAAACACTCACACAGCTGTGGGTGTGCCCCAGTGAATCCACACACAAACACTCACACAGCTGTGGGTGTGCCCCAGTGAATCCACACACACACACTCACACAGCTGTGGGTGTGCCCCAGTGAATCTACACAAACACACTCACACAGCTGTGGGTGTGCCCCAGTGAATCCACACACACACACACTCACACAGCTGTGGGTGTGCCCCAGTGAATCCACACACACAAACACTCACACAGCTGTGGGTGTGCCCCAGTGAATCCACACACACAAACACTCACACAGCTGTGGGTGTGCCCCAGTGAATCCACACACACACACACTCACACAGCTGTGGGTGTGCCCCAGTGAATCCACACACAAACACTCACACAGCTGTGGTAGCGCCCCAGTGAATCCACACACACAGCAACTATCAGGAGCATTTCAGCAGCCCAGAAAAGCAGCGCTCTTGACTTCAAGTTATGCACCTACCTACAACCTAGGCCAGGAAAACGGGAAGTCAGAAGAGTGTTCAACATGAAACGTAAGGATGTCTTCACAGGGCTGGAGAGACAGCTCAGCTGTGAGGGGCTAGGCTCACAGCCACAGAGACAAAGCCCTCACTCTATAGACTGGTTGTTCTCATGCAGTCCCCCTCATTTGGTAATGCAGCACATGAGCTGATGACAAAAACAAGGGGACGAGATGTGCACTGCCTACTGACATCGTCAAGTAATAAAACAGAATCAGAACCTTACTGCCTAAGCAGACTACGATTCTGCAGGGTGGTGGTTTCAAATTTCCTTCGTCTTTAGGATGTTTCAAGTCCCAAGACCAAATGAAATGGCTTGACATGGGAGTAGACACAGTGCTTGTCGAGGAAGAAGTAGTAGTGACAAGGCAAACATGTTCAGAAAAATCCCTAAAGGGATGTGGATAGAGATTCTAGTTAGTGGTTACTGCTGTGATGAAACTCAATGATCAAAGCAACTTGGGGAGGAAAGGGTTTAATTAGCCCTCACTTCCACATCTTAGTCCATCACTGAAGGAAGGAAGGAAGGAAGGAAGGAAGGAAGGAAGGAAGGAAGGAAGGAAGGAAGGAAGGAAGGAAGGAAGGAAGGGAACTCATACAGGGCAGGAACCTGGAGGCAGGAGCTGATGGAGAGGCCACAGAGGTAGACACTGCTTACTGGCTTGCTCCCCATGCTTGCCACCCGCCTAGGGATGGCACCACCCACAATGGGCTGGGCCCTCCCACATCTGCTGTGGAACAAACAATCTTTGTACACTTTGTGTGTTTACTGGGGGCTGGCAGTCCTGACAAAAAGCTGCGCCCACACATATCAATCACTAATTAAGAAAATGCTGTTCAGCTAGAGCTTGTGGGGGCATTTCTCAATCGAGGTTTCCTCCTTTCAGGTGACTCCAGCTTGTGTCAAGTGGATATAAAACTAGCTGGCACAACACAACAGTGAGGTGCTTCACAGATGTCTCCTGATCTCAGATTCCTTCAGGGGCATCCATTCCGGCTCGCCTTCCCTCCTGCTTGCCATCCTGTCTATGTGTGTTCTCCATGCCAGGTGCCTCCTCCCTGTAATGCTTCCCCTCAACCTTTTTTTTTTTTTTTTTTTTTTTTTTTTGAGTCAGGGTTTCTCTGTGGCTTTGGAGGCTGTCCTGGAACTCACTCTGTAGACCAGGCTGGCCTCGAACTCACAGAGATCCGCCTGCCTCTGCCATTTTACCGATGTATACTTAACATTTATCTCAGTGAAACATTTCCTGTTTTAAAACTTTTAATTAAGATTCCTTCTTCAGGGTGGAAAGATGGCTCAGTGGTTAAGAACACTTGCTGTTCTTCCAGAGATCTTGAGTTCAATTCCCAGCAACCACATGATGGCTACAACCATCTGTAACCAGATTTGGTGCCCTCTTCTGGCCTGCAGGCATACATGCAGACAAAACACTGAATACATAATAAATCTTAAAAAAAAAAGACTCCTTCATGCATCAGAAGTAATTATTCTTAAAAAAGGACTGTCATTGACTTTAGAGATCCCCTCAAGGAGGGCCTTACCCTCCCTGGGGAATGATGTGGGGATTGGGCAGAGGGACAAGGGAGGAGGGATGGGAGAGGGGGCTGGCATTGACAATGTGAAGCATGCATGTTTCTTTTTTTTTTTTTTTAAGATTTATTTATCATGTATACAGTGATGAGCATTCATGTTTCTAATTTAAATAAAAACATATATTGAGAAGAAAGAAAGG